AGCAGATCATACAGCAGTTCATTAATGAAGTGTTGTTGCGTTCCTCTGTGCATATATATTTTATATTTTCATGCATATCACAAACAAAGACTTGCTTTTTTAAACAAGGTGCCACTGTAAGATCAAAAGGTTATTACGCCATTATGTACGTCATCAACAATTTTTCTGCACTCTGCCAGAGATGCTGCAACAAAATAATAAATAAAAACAGAGCAGGGCTACGAGAAAAGGCTGCTGTAAAAAAAAAAGAAAGTGGGGTGCTATAAGTACAGTGTATTTTGTAGTGTTGAGTCATCCTAGAACAGCAATTCCATTTTAACCCAGTGACATGACAAGACCGGCCTACACAGCCAAAAAACACAGACTGGCCCACCAAGAATCCTGATTATGGTTTGATTAAAAAAAAAGAACACTTTAGCTCAGCGCGGAGTGAATTAGGCCTCTCGCTGTCTCTCGCACACTGATACAGAGTTCAGCGCCTCAAAGACAGGGATGATGCGAAAGAATCACTACAGAATCCTACTTTTGTCCCGTTTTGAAGTGAGAACTGTAAAGTCCCTGGTGCTGGTGTTTTGTGGCTGGCGCTGAGCCAGAGAAAGACAGCGGGGTAAAGTTGGTTTTGTTTTCGATATTCCTGACACATTCAGTGATAGACGGCATTAACTCAAAAACCTCTTACCCTAAAAATATCTAAACTGTTTCATACAAAAAGACAAAGCAGGTTATGTTTCACAGCTGTCTTTTTCTTTTTAAGCAGTCCCTTTTTTCAGTTTAAGCAGTCGGAATATGCGTTTAGCCGGGAGAGCTCGAGCTGAGCTGAGCTCTCAGTAAGGGACCGTCCTAAAAGTACTTCTTTTTTATGTGTTTTTTTTCTTTTCGAAAACAAAACCAACTTAACTCCGCTGAAAGATGTGTCATATTATCACAATTATGCAGCGTTTTAACCGCCTAATACCTAATTTATGTTTTAGATATGTAAATACACACAAGTACTAGTAAAACAAGACATTTTGAGTTTGTAAAACACACAAGGAAGTCTAACAATCCATTCAAATATAATTTGCTGATGTGTTTTATTTATATCAGATACACATTACACATAGTGTAAGTAACTATAAAGTTGAATCTACGCTTCTCTAAGTTCACCAGCCTCATTACTTGCATGTATTTTGAGAGTAACTTATGAATGTCCCTGCTGAATCCGGAGTGTTCTGCTTTTCTTGAATAAGGCAGCGGCCACAAGTAAACATGGCAATGTCCTTCTCACGTTATAGATCACGATCACTTACACGTTTATGTGAATTAGAATATCTGGTAGTTAATGACATGATGATCAAGCGTGTGAATATTTTGAATTAAAACAGAAAAAACTAAATAAAAGGAATACATCTGCCATACAGCGCTATTGTGGATGCTGTGTGTCACGTGACAAACATGATGCGTTGCCACGGAAACTTTAAGGGGTAATGTTCTAAAAAAAACTGACTCCCGGGCCAGAGAGAATCTTTTAAACTCAGCAGTGAAAGAGTTAATAACAGCAGTAAAGCAGCGTGGTAGAGATACTTTGCATTGCAAGACTAAAGACACATTTTTATTCACTGGCCTTTTTTGGATCGTTAATTTTTCCATCTGTTGTCATGTATAGCTTATTAATTTTGTCTCGTTCCCAGTTCAAATATCTAAAAAATCTTACATCAAGACCAGAAAAGAAAAATGGCATGAGAAAATGAAGTGATGCTAAAAACTTTTGTTTGAGATTATATATTATTAAGATATTTTTTCTTACCCCATTGGCAATAATTTAGCTTGTTTTAAGCAAACAATCACTTCATTTTGAGGCTAAGTGATTTTGTATGCTATTTCATGTGTCTAGTATATATCTTAATTTAAAAACATTAAGATATTTGGATTGAAAACAGGACAAAACTAGTTTTTATTTTATTAATATTATTACTATTATTATAACAGCTCGGGCATGAGTTTTTTTTAATAAAGTGTTGGAAATTAATGCTGTTCTTTTTTTTTTTTAAAGGAAAGGATTTACGTTTTACAATGGTTTTACAATGGTTTTACCATCGTTTTACAATGGTTTTACAATGATAAAACGATCGTTTTACAATGGTTTTACAATGGTTTTACAATGGTAAAATTATCGTTTTACCATCGTTTTACAATGGTTTTACAATCGTTTTACCATCGCTTTACGATTAATCGGAAAAAGAATCGGCAGATTAATCGATTATTAAAATATTCGTTAGTTGCAGCCCTACAAGAAATACATGTACGTCATACATGAAGTTGGCGTGGACCAACGCACATTCTCATGTTAATTTCACCATTAGTAAATCCAAACGTGAGCATGAAACCTGGCGTACACCAAGTTTTTGTGCGTATGCAACATTGATACATGAGGCCCCTGGTTATGTGAATCAGATGTTTCCAATAAGAGAGACATGCAAAATATACATGAGTGGTTGGGCAAGAGGAATGAGTTTGAGATCCACTGGTTAAAACAATGCTAAGTTAATAGTAAAGCTCCTATTCTCTGCCATTTATTATGGTGGCCAACATACTGTTATACTACATAAACTTAATGTTCTTCTTCTTCTGAGACTAATTTCTGTATGCATCTCCTCCTAGACTGTTCATTCTACAAACACATAACTTACTACAAACCTCCAAACTGGTCAGACTCGGCTTGCTATATCTTTTAACTGCTCTGACTTTCGGTTTTCCGAAATCTGACCCGGAAAATTCTGAAAAGTCCAATTGACTTAACACTGAACCAAACTTTTTGACCACATAACTGTCATACATAACTGCCAGACTGTCATAGAGACTTAAGGTTAGGCTCATTAAACTCAGACTATCAAATTGCTAATAACTAATGGCCTTTCAACTTACTAGCCACATCCTAGCAACCAATTGCAAAACTCAGAACACCTTAGCAAGCACCTAGCAACACCTTAGTAACCACCTAGAACACCCTAGCAATCACCTAGCAACGCCTTTACAACCACCAAGAACACCCTAGCAACCGCCTAGCAACCACTCAGAACACCTTAGTAAACCTCTTAGCAACACCTTAGTAACCACTCAAAACCACTCATAGCGACCACTCAAAACACAGTTTGTTTACAAACTTAACTTTTCTAGTTTGTTATAACAAATTTTTTCAAATTTTTTTGTTTTATTTTTATTTTTGTATTGTTTGGGTTTTAAACAAAATCTGGTTCAATTCCATGTCAACAGCTTCTTTATGCCGAGTTCAGACTGCATGATTTTTAAAGTAGTCGTGTCACAGATGTTTTTACACTGCATGACAATCTGGGCTAGCGTTTTGTCAAGTTTGTCAAACGTATTGTTTTACAATAGGATAAATCGCCAACAACTTCGTCCATACTACATCTTGCAGCCAAAAACAATGGTATATCTTTTGTTATTAACAAAATAACGGGAAAAAGCCTTTAATGGGGTAGAAAATGTACATATTTGCGCACCTGGTTTTGAAGGAAATTAGCAATTTCTCCTCAACTTTCTTTTTTAACTTTGTGTATGAAACGTCAGACAGACACGGGTGCTCCTGTCAAACCCCAACTAGGTTTTTCCTTCATTTCTTGGGTCCAAATGAACCGAAAATGAGCGATTTTAACTTCTCCCTTAACCTCCCGCTGGCCTGCAGGTACACACAAACAAGTGGATGCTGTTCTCTCATTGGCTGTAGGTGAGCGCCAATGTTAATTTTCAGTCAAAACTCAATTCACACGGCATATTTGAATTGCCGACAGCTCCAGATGCTTAGCACGCCAAATATTTCAAATCTCATCACCGATTCTCTCAGATCGCATCTTTGATAGTTCATACTGTGTGATTGTCACTCACGTGCACGAGCACCGATTTGCCTGTGTTTTCAAGCAATTATCGACGATTTCTCAGAACCTGTTGGTGAGTCAAAATCGGGGCTAAAATCATGCAGTCTGAACTATTCCCAGGAAAAAAAACATTGTTCAATACCTATTTTCCCTGCTTTACATTTGGCCACATAAATGTGTCTCTGCTAAATGGGTAAGATTCTAAAAAGTTTTAGGTTAATTTGTGTATAACAAAACAAACATTCCTAATTGTTATGTATGTAAACAGCCAAGAAAATTCCTCACATATTATACCACCACTACCAGCTTGATTCATTAAAACAAGACAAGATGAATCAATGGTGACCATACCATCTGAAAGCTACAGATTTTATTTTTTTATTTTGGTGTGCCCATGTGAATTATGGCTTCAGTTTCCTGTTTTTTGGCTAAAACAAGTGGCACCCAGTTTTGTCTTCTGCTGCTTTAGCTCACCTGCTTCAATCATAAACATGTTGCACCGTACCTTCAGCTATGTTATTCAGCTTTCTGTGTTGGAATTTTATTTTGTTTATGTATGTAGGTATGTATGTATGTATGTATGTATGTATGTATGTATGTATGTATGTATGTATGTATGCATGTATGCATGTATGTATGTGTGAAAAATATATACACTGCAAAAAATGCTTTTCTTACTTCTGCCAATAAATCTGCCAATTGGGTAAGCAAAATAATCTTATCACAAACTGAAAAAACAAGATTATTTTGCTCACCCCATTGGCAGATTATTTTGCTTGATTTAAGAAAAAACTCACTTCATTTTGGCATATTATTTCTTATAACAAGACATTATGTTTTGCTTGTCTATAAAATGCTTCTTGATTTAAGAATTTGTAGATATTTGGACTAGAAACAAGACAAAAAATCTAAGAAAAGCATTTTTTGCAGTGTATGAATGGTATTGTACACTGAATGAAATAACATGAACACGCACAGTTCTACAGCAGTTGGGCTTAACCATGATCATTGATTCAAGAAGTAAAGAAAGATTTACAATTAAATAATTCCAATAATTACTTTGAACATCACAAAAAAAGCCCTGTAAATTAACCAGCCATACTAAAACAGTCTTTTATTTCATTACAGCATGTAGGTAAACCATGGTGAAGGAAAAAAACGCTTGGTGGATTTTGGATCCTAAAGACCATCTGTTACACATCAATGTGGGTGGCTTGAGAAACACTCTATGCTCAAGCATTCTGAAGAAGTTTCCGGACACACGTCTAGGGCAACTTCTGTCTTGTGACTCTGAGGATGACATTCTACAGCTCTGTGATGACTTTGATGTTCAACGGAAAGAGTTTTACTTTGACCGTAACCCTGGCCTTTTCCCTTATGTCCTGCACTTTTACCAGACTGGTAAGCTGCACATTATGGAAGAGCTATGCATTTTTTCCTTCTCTCAGGAAATTGAATACTGGGGCATAAGTGATTTTTTTCTAGACAGCTGCTGTAGTTACCGTTATCTTGATCGCAAACTGGAGAGACATCACAAAAGCTGGGATGAAGAAAGTGATGTTAGCAGTGTAGATACATCGGTTGATGAAATTTCTGATCTGAACAAAGACATCGAGCACTTCCATGAAATGCGTTTTGGAAACATTCGGAAGTGTCTGTGGCTAACACTGGAAAATCCCGGATATTCAATCCCAAGCAAACTTTTCAGCTTGCTTTCCATTTGTGTGGTGTTGATATCAATTGCTACCATGTGCATTAATAGCATTCCAGAATACCAGAAATTCGATGAAAATGGTAATCTAATTGAAGACCCAACTATGCATGTTTTAGAAGTGTTCTGCATCTGCTGGTTTACCTTTGAAGTAGTAACACGTATGCTTCTTGCTCCAAACCATCGTAAATTCTTCCTGCTACCACTTAATGTGATTGATATAATCTCAGTCATGCCAATTTACATCACAATCTTTTTTGATATGCTCATTGGAAGCGAGTCTGAGCTGGGCAACTTGGGAAAACTGGTCCAGGTGTTGCGGCTAATGAGAATCTTCAGGGTGCTGAAGTTGGCCAGGCATTCAACAGGTTTAAGGTCTCTGGGTGCTACATTACGGGTGAGATTACACTGGCATTTTACAGGTACACAAGCTATATTGCAGTGGTTTTCAATAATAGACCTCTAGGGAGACCCAGGGTATCATCTTATCTGAAGAAATACCTATGCTTCTCAATTTGCAAACTATCTACCCTTATTTTTAGATTAGAAGTAATGTGATCTGTATAGTTAGTTTATCTGATAAATTATCTGTATGTTCTATTAATTGTGGCACAGGGGTTCTCACTCTGACTCTTGAAAGTAAAATGTACATTTGTGAGACTTCTGTATCATTAGCTGATATAGAGAAATAATGTGAGGAATTTCAAGGTTAAGTATACAGTATCACCAGTACCCCTGCGGGAATGAAACTGCAATGCTGTGTGTCATCTGACACATTTCAAGGATATTTCTAGATAGCAAATCATTTTGAACAGGAAGAAAACAGGCCAATGAAAAGCTATGAGCATTTCTCACAGCTGATGGCACTTACAATCAGTATAAACTCAGCAGACTTTTGCTTCAGAAGCCTCACGGTACCGAAGAGACGACATCTGCAAAGCTGAATCCAGAGAGATTAAGCTTTATGTATCCAGTGTGGATAATGAAGCAGGCAGCAGCAGTTGAGCTGGGTGATTTTCCTGTCCCTGGACGTTTCATTGGTTCATCGTTTCATTCAACCTTCCAGGGTGCAATGACAGTAGGGCTGGACAGTGGCAGATTGAGGCCCTGTTTACACTAATGTGTTTTAGTTTTAAAACGAATTAGTTTTGCTACGGTTATGCCATCCGTTCACACTACGCCGGAGTTTTTGAGCACCGAAAACAGAGCGTTTTGGAAAAAAAAGAGGCCATTTTCATCCAAAAACGCTGCTGCTTCGTCTCAGTGTAGACGGGGGGAAAACTGAGACATCTGAAATTGGAGGGGGGACTGCTGACATTCGCCTCTCTGATTGGGGCTTTTCCTCAATATTAAGTAGCTAAAAAGAGAGCCTTTGCTTTAGCTGTAAAAATTGAGCTTTGATCAGGAATGCGAATGCCGTAGTGTGATTGACCCATTACTATTGCTGCTGAAACATGACTGTCCTTTTTTGATCCATCTGTGCATATTGGTTTATGAGTAGGATAAAAATGTCTTATGTCAGCAAATGCTTGTTGATATGTATGTCGAAAAGTATCAGCCTTCTGCTCAGATCCAGATTTATATGCAACTTATTTAACCTCCATGGTGGGACTGGACAAATGAGTCTGGTTGATGGAATCAAGATTTAGATTCAGTTTTTTATGTGTGTTCTGATCCGTACACCGCATGGTCGAATATAGCTGGGTCTTGCCTCATATAAATCCAGATATTGAGGTTGGAAGATTAGTTTAAAAGCTGGGTTGTGTTGATTTGTCTTTATTTTCAATGCATTCTGGAGAGACAATTCCAATCGTCTAATATGAAGGGGTGGTTCATTAGCTTTAGTGTAAAGGCTTCGAGAAGGTGAAGTTCTAAAAGCTCCAAAAGCTAGTCTAAGCCCTTGGTGACGTACAGGATCCAGCGTTTGTAAATAAGATTTTCTAGCAGAGCTGTAAACTATACTCCCATAGTCCAGTCGTGAGCGCACCAAGAGTCTATACAGCCTCATTAAAACAGTAGAATCTGCTCCCCATTTTGTTTTTGCAAGAACTTTATTTGATTCCAAGTTCTTCAAGCATTTGTTTTTTTTTGTGGTATGTGGTATGAAGGTCATTTTACTATCGAAATGGAGTCCAAGGAATTTCATTTCTTTTACAATCTTGATGGGATACAATCTTCATCCAAAAAGAGGTCTGGATCATGATGTAGAGATCGTAAAAGACAGATGCATACATATAATTTTGGTTTTAGAAAATTTGAAAGCATTTTCTGTAGACCAATTACTCACTTTGTTGATGCAAAACTATTGCTGTCTTTCAGTTATGATCATGTTTATCCCTCAGTAGCATATACAAATGTCATCCTGATAAAGACTGCACATCATGTTTCTTCCAATGACGTCTGTGACGCTATTTTGATCATGAAAAGAGTCACTGAAAGGATGCTGCATTGAGGAACTCCTTGCTGTTGTACTTGAGAGTCTGACATAGTGGTTTTCTACTTGAATTCGGAAAGTTCTTTTTGACAAAAATTTTGAAATGAAGATGAGTAAATTTCCTCTGAATTACATTTTATACTGATCTTTAAGAATGCCATATTTCCAGGTAGTGTCATATGCTTTTTCTAGGTCAAACAATACAGCTACAACATGCTCCTTTTTGATGAATTAATTTCATATGTAAGACTCCAGATTGATGAGATGATCTACTGTACTCCTTTCTCTTCTGAAACCACATTGGAAATCACTTATCTGATGATTAGACTCAAGCTTCCAGACAAGTCGGTTATTTACCATCCTCTCCATAGTTTTACATATACAGCTTGTTAAAGCTATAGGCCTGTGATTGTTGGGATCTTTATGTTCTTTTCCAGGTTTTGGTAAAGGAATAATGGTGGCTTCTTGCCATGATGGTGGTATATTTCCTGATTTTCAAATTTCATTGAAATTTTCCTGGAGGAGGGAATGACTCAATTGGGGAAGATGTTTTAGAAACTGATAATGTACTTTATCTGGTCCAACTGCTGTGTCGTGGCAGCACTTTAGAGAGTTTAAAAGTTCCTCCATAGAAAAAGGTTGATTGTAGATCTCTGTGTTTTGGGAAATGAAATTTAATTTAATTGTTTCTTGGTGAGATCTGATTTTTTGAAAATTTGGTTGATAGTTTTCTGTAGAGGAATTTCTTGCAAAGGTTTCTTCAAGTATATTAGCAATGTCATATTTACTAGTCAGCAGAGTGCAGTGAATATCAATGTGTTTTACTTGTGGTCTGCCTCTTCCTTTCATTTTACGAATTGCATCCCATATTTTCTTTGATGGTGTATTTATTGTCAAGCTCGACACAAATTCATTCCAGCTCTGTCTCTTTGCTTCTCTTATATATCTCCGTGCCTGGCCTCTCCAAATTTTATAATCCTTATAAGGTTTTCAGACATTGGATGTTTTTGAAAACATCTTACTGCTTTTTTCCGTGCTTTATTAAGTTCTTTACATTGGTCATCAAACCAAGGATTCCGTCTCTTGCTCTGTTTTGTGGATGTTTTTGGTAACGATTCATCTACAATTTTAATAATTTTTTCTGTGAACCATTTGATTGGATTCTCTTTATCCTGTTGCTTGCCATCAAGTCTCTTATAACAAAGAAATTGAAATGAGTTCCAATTAGCTTTTTTAACCCTCTCAGACCTGAATTATGTTCCAAATTTCAGAAAAATGGGATGTCATGTGATGTCCATTGTAATGGACGCAGGGTCTGAAGGGGTTAAGTTTCCATTTTTGAGGTCTCTGTTGTGTATCTGCTGCTGTTTTGGTTATAATCAAAGGAAAGTGATCACTTCCACAAAGATCATTAGAGACATACCATGAGAAATCAGTAGTTAAAGTTGCATCACGTATTGTTAAGTCAATGGCAGAGAAGGATCCATGTTCTGGGTGTAAGTATGTGTATGAACCATTATTTAAAAGACACAGGTCATTTTCATTAATTAGTTTTTCCATCTTCTTTCCCTTCGCCTCAAGTTGTTTTTCTCCCCACAGAGAATTGTGAGCATTAAAATCTCCCATGAGAATGAATGGAGGGGGGATTTGTTCCACCAGATTTTCCAAATCTTGGTGTGATACATGTGCTTTTTGGGGAGTATAAACAGAAAATAATGTAATAGTCTTTTGCAAAGTTACATGGACTGACACTACTTATAGGTTTTTATTTATTTCAACATTACTGTGAGTAACGTCATGTCTTAGTAATATTGATGTTCCACGACAAGGACTTTGAAGATTTTGGGCCATGTGCGTTTAAGCATGTAAAATGTTTCAGAGATATATTGCTCTCTGAAGTAAGATGGGTCTCTTGAAGACAGAAAGCCAGTGGATTATAAATGCAAGACGTTGTAATTCAGAAAAATTATGCCACGGCAATTCCACTGAATGACATGACTTTCCACTGTCAAGTTGGTAACTCACATGTGAGTGCCCTTTGGTTCTAGTTTTTGGAGAAGTGCTCCAAGGTTTTTTGTCCTCTGACATTTCAATGTCTTTTGAGCTGCTGGTCTTCATCTCCTTGTGCTCTTGGCTTGTTTTTTCTTTTTGAGGATTTGTTTTTTTTGTAATTTTTACTTTTGGCTGAGTTTTGTCCTGTAGATGAATTTTCTTTGTGATTTACTTGAGTTTGATGAAGCACAGTCTGACTTTGATGATCAATACACTTTGTATTTACTGGAGTTTTTATTTCTTTAAATTTTTTATTTATCCATGTCAAATCTGTCTGAACCCCGACAGACTGCAGTTTTGGATTCATCACAGATGCAAAAGTCTTTTCCAGTTTAAAGAATAGGGATTTCTCTACAAGTTTTCGAGTTTCCAAATAGCTCACCTTCTTAGTGCACTTGATTTTCTGGATTTATTTTTCTTTAATCCAGATAGGACAGTCTTTGGATGAGCTTGGATGTTCTCCTGCACAGTTGCTGCACATTGGTGATTTTTCACATTCCTCACCATGTTTTTCCTCTCCACAGTTTACACAAGTTGGCCTGTTTTTGCAAGCAATCGATCCATGTCCAAACTTTTGGCAGTTGAAACACCTAATTGGATTAGGTGTAAAAGTGTCAACATTGACACACAAGTATCCAATTTGAATCTTTTCTGGAGGTAGAGGTCTATATAGGTTCCTGTTTTTATGAGATGATATTCTCTCCTGATTTTGATTCTTTTAACATGTATTATTACATCTTGAGACATTAATTCTGTAGTAATATCAGTCTCTTCCATGTCTTTTAGCTCTCTGGTACGGATTACTCCTTTGCTATGATTTAAAGTTGGATGGTGAAAAGTTTTTATAGCAACACCAGCAAGCACATTTGCATGTAGTAGATTTTCTGCTTGAATCTTTTTGGAGCATTCAA